TCCTTGGCCCCTAATCCTTGTTCTAATTCTGTACGGTCTGTGTTTGCATTCAGCCCTGCCATCAGAGAGGTCCATCACACCATTGTTCTACTAGCGCATGCCATGTTATTCCTTCTTATAAATTGTTCTGGGCTGTGAGGCCAGTGCCCTACAGGAGACACCTTGTTAAAAGCAGACCCCTGAAAGTCGTCATGTTGTAAGGTCATGAAGTTGTTGAGAGTGATGTTCTACAACACTGAGTAGTTTCTTCTCTCTGAGGACTCGCAGAGAACCAACTGGTTTCTTCTTCTTTGTGGACATTTGAAACCTATGACTGTGTCCCCCTTTTTATGAGTGTTTTAGAGTTTAGAGGCTCTTCGTAGACTTTGCGTAGCTCTTTGTAGGCTGACATATACTCTTAGCTTCATCTTGAGTCCCCCTTTTATCATTATTTTCTTATCTGTTTGTTTTATGTTATTTTTAAGTTTACATTTAAAATCTAATTTTTTCTTTTTTGGTAAATATTATTGATGTACAGCTTTCTGTGTGCTAGCAGCTGGTCATAAGAAGACAGAACTATGTTCCATATTTAACTGTGACACATTAGCACTTAACTTCCCAGACCTCCCCACCTCCACCACGTTTGTCCCTTTATTTTGAGCACCTTCTTCTGAAGCTATATGTGAACTTCATTCTCTTTGTTTTGCTTCTTCCATCAGTATTTCTGTTACTTTGTTTGCTGTGTGTTTCGTTTTCTTTAGTTTTTGCTAAGACATTTGCCATATGTATTAGAGAACCTCTATAAATTGGATAGCTCTTCATATATTAGATGCTTAGTGAATGTTTGAAGAAATGCATGAGTTTTAATAAAAATAGTTTTCCTGTATTTTTTTAGCTCAAAGTGGTTAGAAAACAGCTTCCAATGAAATGAAGATTATAAATATCACCTGATCCTTTGAATAGAAGCTTTTTTCCCCCTCCCAGCCTGTTTTGTTTGTAGTAAACATGTTAAGTTTAAAATATAGTCTTCTCTTACGTCTATGAATTGATAGAATGCTTTTCAGAAATATGCAAGTCTAGGGGTGCCTGGGTGGCATCTGCCTTCGGCTCGGGTCATGATCCCAGGGTCCTGGGATCGAGCCCCGCGTTGGGCTCCCTGCTCAGTGGGGAGCCTGCTTCTCCCTCTCCCTCTGCCCCTTCTCCCTGCTCATGTTCTCTCTTTCTAGAAAATAAATAAAT